CTTTCTATTTTAGTTAATATGCATCATAGGTACAGTGCATGAGGGTAATAGATCACAAAGACAACAAACATGCCATGTTCCTTTCTTTCATTTTTTGTGTTCATCACATACTCTGCCAGTTACTACTGTTTCCATGCTTCCTGGTATCCAATTGAAAGTCTGAAAGTTGTGTTGAAATCAACTCAACTAATGTAGCTAAACTGTTTACTGATAATTACTATTGTGCTTTATGTGCTTTTTCAGTTATATGTTTTAATTTGTTTTGGGCCAAATCTTTAGCAAAATATCCTCCTTTTTTGCAGGCACAGATCTTAAATAATAAACCCGTCGAGTTTAATACATTAATAATTTTTTTAGACCTGTTTAAACAAAATGGAAAATATGAGCTTAAATTAACCAGTCTCTTCCAGTTATCTGTTGACCTGTTTCAAAAATGGTAACATTAAGACACATCTGTGAAAGAAATTAAACTTCACATCAAAAATGTTAGTGATGGAGCACAGCTGTTAAAGAAAGTACCCTTAGAAATTGTGGGGCTCAGCTGTTAAAGAAAGTACCCTTAGAAATTGTGGGGCACAGCTGTTAAAGAAAGTACCCTTAGAAATTGTGGGGCTCAGCTGTTAAAGAAAGTACACTTAGAAATTGTGGGGCTCAGCTGTTAAAGAAAGTACCCTTAGAAATTGTGGGGCTCAGCTGTTAAAGAAAGTACCCTTAGAAATTGTGGGGCTCAGCTGTTAAAGAAAGTACACTTAGAAATTGTGGGGCTCAGCTGTTAAAGAAAGTACACTTCAGAAATTGTGGGGCTCAGCTGTTAAAGAAAGTACCCTTAGAAATTGTGGGGCTCAGCTGTTAAAGAAAGTACACTTCACAACCTTGTAGAAGTTAGCCAGTTGTCTATCATTTGGTGTACAAGTTGAATTTTGTTTGTGATGATAATATATTAACACGTATAAACAATAGTTTATAACATTATTAAAGCTAGAAAGGATTTGTAGTTATTACAATTAACAAGAACTAATCAAGTTTTGCAGTACTTTGTGCTAACTGCAAATGTTACAAAGATAAACTGCTTTATAAGTACAAATTAAACAACATGAACTTACAAAAATATAAAGTTAATTACCCAACTACTGTTGTAACATGTACGTTGAAACTAGTTGGGTAATTAACTTTATATTTTTGTAAGTTCATGTTGTTTAATTT